GGGGGGGGGGGTCATTAATGTGGTCTTTCTTGTGTTCCGAAGCAAGTTTCGCAAGCGAGTAGAGCGGCATCTTTTCTATTTTTTTATCCCACACACACCGCCGGGTAGCCTGTGGCGAGTCGAAGCCGCCTGTCGAGGTCAACCTTGCTTGGGTGATCCTTGTCTTTTTTTGGGGAGGAGCTCTCCTTCTCTTTTGCGCAAGGCTAGCGGAGAGAATGGTGTAGATGGCACGAGCAAGATAAAAGCGAACGCTGGCGGCAGGGCGTTGGGTTGTGGCCGATTGGTCGCCGTCGTTTGCCGATGGTGGGTTTGAATGGAAGTCCTTGGTTCGAAGTGCGCTGCCGGCACGGATGAATATAGCTAATATTGGAAAAACACATCCCGCACGTGCGGAGTATTGTTTTCTTTTGGGGCGGGGTTGTTCCACCTCGTGCCTTGGAACAAGGAGGCTCGGCGGAGCCCACATGTCGGACGCAAATGTGCAGTCCCGCTTGGAGGGTGGGTGCAAGCCAGAGGGTTGTGCAGTATGCGGATTGGTCGAATAATAGGAAGAGGAGTAGATTGATCGCACGCACGACTCTTAACTGGTGGAAGAGTCGAGAGCGAATTGGAGTGTTTTTTTTTTGCTGCGCACAGGTAAGGAAAGTGTGCTGATTGGTTCATGAACAAGGAGAAATATACATGAACAGGCTGGTTGAAATAATTTTTGGTGGAGATGGTGATTGGCGGAAAGATCTGATCGATAGCCGATCGGTCGGGTGTCTTCGTTTTTTTTTCTCTGTTCGCTTGGCATGCGGCCTGTCGTGCTTCCGCTGAGGCTTGTGGGCCTGGCATCAGTCAGCTGTAGAGACCTCGGGCCCTGCTCTCCGTATGTGCAACGACCGGTTGATGGTGTTCCAGGCTTGCTATGACGTGTGAGTTGGAGGAGCCTTGGATCCTGTAGTGCATTTGTGCAACGGCAGGTCGTCGTGTAGCAGGTTTGCTGTGACGTGTGAGTTGGTTATGATTGGATGACGTTCGGTTGTACCGAGCGGTTGCACAGGAGCTCGTGGCAGCTTTCGTGTAGTAGATTTGAGTGTTTTTAAGTTACTCGTTCAGGTGGCTTCCGACTGCTTACATCAGGATTAGTTTTGCATCATGCCTGGACGCAGCCCTCGCGGGAAGTGGTTTTCTTCTGTTTTCGTTGCAAATGTTCTCTCTATCTTGGGGTCTTGTGTATTGTTTCCATATCGGTATCGTGGAAAGAGGGCAAGCTTGTTACACTGTCCCGTTGCACCTCTACGTTCTCGTTTGTTGCCCTTGTATGTGTTTGCGTTTTCATGATTCATATTTGTATGTAGCTGTTAAGTGTGCCTAGGGCTCTTTCTTACAAAGAGCCCTGGCATTAGTATCAGCATCGGCATCCGCATGGCCATTGGTATGCGGTGCAAGTGGAGGGCTCCCTGAGTTGTGAGGTTTAGGAGGTGCTTCGAAGGTATGCGCACGGAGCGCAGTGTAACGTCAGCTCCTTGTAGATCCAAAAGTTGTCGAGACGATGTCAACACAAGGAGAGAACAAGTGCGAAATTCATTTTCGTTCCGGGCGAAGACCCGCTTATTGGTGACGGAATGCTTCCTCTGCCTTGGATCTCGTGAGGGACGCATGGACCCTTGAACCTTGGCAACATTCATGATGAGTTGCGTCGTCCGCTGTTTGGTTGGCTCCCGCAGATTCGTAGATCCAACTTTGCAGGGTGAGGAAGGAGGTTGGATCATCGTTACAGGAAAACGGGCTGTGCAATGGAGGCGTTGTATCCCCTCCTTACTCTCGTGACTGCTATCTGTCCCGGCCACCAACCTCTTCGAGACTTAATTGCGGAGGACGCGAGTTCTGTGGTGGCGCATGGGGCGGGGCCAAGCACGGGGCTCTCTACCTTTCGCCGTTTGTTGCGGAGAAAGCCCAACCTAGCGTGCGCTTGGTTTTGTACAAACCGTCCTGCGTTTGTGCAACAGTCTAACATGGTTGTAGAGAATATTGCCCACTCTAATATTGCATCGAGTGAATGATAACGAACGGGCGTCGTAAAAAACGTGGGCTCAAAACCGTGCTCCGAAGTCATCGATCGAAAAAAAATGAAACCCCGAACAGGGGCTTCAACATGGTGTTTACTGATGTGCCGTACTTGTAGAGGGCAAGCGCGCCGTCGAGGAGCAACCCATAACAGGATGGTTTTCTTCTCGATATGCTGCACACAGCTACCGACGGCAATAGGCGTCATTATCATCATGGTGGCCCGTCCTGATCGCGCGAGGTCATCGTCATCGCACCAGACGCGCGTGCGTACCGAATGCGACACAAGATAACACACCCCGTAGACCGATTATTAAAGCTCGATTACGCCGCTGCATGAAGTTTCCATCCTTAAGCTTAACTCCATCCGGCGTCCCCTCACCATATAGGGAAGTGCTGGCTTGGGAGCATGCATGCGGCAGGAACCAAGAAAGGCGACTTGAAGAAAAGTCCACCATCACGCACCACACACTCAAAGGCCGGTGTTTCGTGGATATACTGTAAAAAAAGCAAAACCTTCGTTTCAGGAAAGTAACCCGAAGGAGGGCGTTTGCGAACCAACACGTAACCTGCGTGCGTGGAAAATTTGTTTGTTACGGAGAGCTCCATCCGGCTGGGGTAAGGTCAGGTTTAGACATACACCGAGACTTGTCCTGAGTACTCTTTTATGTCATGACAAAGAAATGTACCAAAAAAAATTCCGGAATCGCCTCCAAACTCTATGGAAGGCATCATGAACGAAACGAAACGATTTCGGAAAGTTCTCAACGAGACAGCTTCAACGCCGCCGTCTCCCGCGCTGTGACTCTTTCTGCTGATGAGAAATCGAGCTTCGAAAATCGGTCCAGGGGGTGTGTTATCTTGTGTCATATAAGGTGCTTCATTCGAGTCTTCGTCAACTCAACCCCAAGCCAACTGTTGTCCTGGTGCTTTCGCTCCCAGGTTGGTACGCGCCAGCCTTGGGTACGACGCCTTGGGTTTGTTGGGGTTAACGTTATCGTTGTGGTGCGTATTCAGCACCAGGAAAAATTGTCGCTGCTGTCCACCCTTTCCGTTGCGGTTTCCTCCTTCCTCGTGAAAATGCGTCATGCGACATACGCTCCCAATCACCGTGGTACTATCCCCGACCCTTGTGTTTTCAACGTCTCGTTCCCCCCAACACTGCGGGACCACTACACTGTGTCCCGATAAGCAGCAGTACTGCGCCCCAATTCTTACAGGAGTGGCCCGGGTTTAAGAAGCCCAGGCCAAAAAAAAAGTACACTTAACACTGAAGAAGGTGGTCAAAAGGAACAGCGGCCCCCCGCCCACGAGCCCTACACATGGAAGCAATGGAGTCCATGTCGGGTTACCCCAACAGGACACAAGGAATGAGCCTCGTGCCAAAAATAAGAGGCTCGTACTGCGATTGCTTACGCGTTGTTCTTTGCATGGCCCCTCCCGTCAACCTTCGCGCATGCCCACGACACTTGACGCCTCTACCGGCCCTCTCGTTGCTTGTTACGTCTCATCCCGGCCGCCCCTCTTAACCCGTCAAGTCAAGCTCGCCGTTAACCCCCGTGACAGGCAGCCGCCCAATCAAGTGGTTCATCGCCGTCGTCCTTGCTGCCTCAATCTGAGCACTCTCGCGCACCTTATACTCGTCATTTCGCCCCGGTGAGCTGTGAGCACCCGGACCAACAACGCACCCAACGCCACCCTTTTCTCCCAGCTTGAATGACATGCTTGCCCCTCACGCTCGTCATTGCCCAGCCAGTCAAGCTGTGAGCAGCCGAACTAAAGCACACCTTTTACACTTCCCTCCTTCCCCTCATGTCCCTTCTCGTTCACAGTAGCGTCCCGCTGTTAAGCAACGTCTTGAGGCCTCGCTTCTTACTTGGCAAGGTGCAGGATACACTTCGGAGCTGCGTTTCTTGACGTCAATTCCGTAGTTTCCTGGAAATTGAGCCCATTCTCCAAGTTCCAAGTTCATCGTAGCGGACCGGTGTTGCACTCTCGACAATCCAACCGCCCCGACATTCGGCCAAATCCATTTCCATGCTCTCATGGCGACTGCGTTTGCAAGTGAACCATCACCCAGACGCCAATGCTTACCCTTTAATTTTAGTCTGCAGCTGTACGGGTACCCCAGTAAGCCTAACCTTTGCGATGCACCCGAGCAAAGCCAAGCAGCAGCGTACCCTCGTCTATAACGCTTATTTCATCACGGAAACTCCCACCGCTCCTCGCGGACACGAAAGCTACCGTCACCCGCCCATCACATGCATTAACCACGGGAACTCCCACCGCTCCTCTTCCTTGCGAAGGCTCTCTTCCCCCGCACATCACGCCCTTTTGCGACGAGAACTCCCACCGCTCTTCTTGGATGCGGAAGCCCCCTTCCCCCTCCCCCGGCCGGCCACTCTGCCGCCTCGCGTGGGCGGGGTTCGGGGGCTTTCGTCCCCTTTCCCCTTTTCCTGCACCTTCTCCTTGGCCTCGTCGTCTTCTTCTGCCGCGGAGGACTCGTCGCCGAAGATTTCGGATTCTTCGGAGACTCTGTCACCATCGGACGTATCGTCCTGCTGGGAGTCCCAGCTGTCCTCTGTGTCGTCCACGAGGTCGCTCGAGTTCACAGACTGGGTGGCAGGTGCACCAACAGCAAAAAAAAAAAAAAGGCAAAATGGAAACAAGGGGTGAACTTGTCAGGTCACAGACTGGGCGAACGAAGACAGAAAGATAATCCTGGGAGAAACGGAGGGCGCTGGTAATAACAAACTCAACAGAGGCGTACTTGCTTTGAAGCTACCTGCTTCTGGACGGGAAAACCAAGAAACAATGACTCGCGGACATGGAAAAGACAGCTGTGGGCTTGCGCCACACACGAGAATAGATAGGTGTCGAAAAGCACATGGGGCGTACCGAAACAATCGCCACGACAGAGAGCAGGAGGATGAGATCCTTCCTGTCATCCTGGCTTGACGACATGGCTCCGAGCTCACGTGGCGAAGCCCGCACACAGATAAAACGACCCCGAGATTGCCATTGTGGATAACCTCCTGCCCACACAGACGCTACTACCGTGGCTCACGCAAGACACCGCACCCGCATGCCACACATCCCGTGGATCAACTTTCACGACTCGATACTGTACTCCACGACGAAGAGGTCATCAAAACAAAATATTACGTTTTCGGAATGCTCTCTCTCTCGATGAGACGGTTCCAACGCCGCGGTGTTTGGCACCTTCAATCCGTTTACGCTGCAGAGCACTCGAGTTTTGGAAATCGTTCCAAGCGGCGTGTGCGTCTTTGTTATTAGCACCGACGGCGCTAAGCGGCTGGCCAATGAAAAGACGTCAGTCTCAGCGCGGTTGAAATCAGCAAACGCTTCTGTGTAAGGACCAATGATCTGGGACTCCATGAGGATGCGTCATGGGGGAGGCTAGTACATTTCGCGACCCATTACGTTAATCTCCCCCAAGAGGTACGAAAGCACACGCCGTCGATACTCATGCCCGCTCACGTCAGACTCCGAGTCCTCGTCCGAGTCCGTGTCCGACTGCACCACGGCCCTGTCCGCCTCCCTCAACAAAGCCGGAACGGCAGCGGCACCCCGCGCACCGCCGGCTGCTGCACCAGCAGGCCGTTTCCCGCCCCCGCCGCCGCCGCCGGCCGACTTCCCAGCGACGCGGCCGGTACCGCTGCGGCCGCCAGTGCCAGCGAAGCCGATCTTCCTCGTGCCGCTCTTGGAGGTCATGAAAGGTTTACCGGCGCCGGCGCCGGCGCCGCCATCGTCTCCATCTCGGCCGTACGCGTCGGCATCCATCGCTGATTCCGACATTGCCGGGGGCGGCGCTTGGACGACCTCCACGTCTTTTGCGATGGTCCGGGTCTTGCGGCGAAACTCGTCCCTGGACATGTTGGCCGGGAGCGGGTTTCTGACTGTCGCAGCGCTGGGGCCGGCGGCGGTGGCCTTTTTCTGCTGCTGCTGCTGCTGCTGTCGCATGGCGCCCTGTGTGCGCGCAATTTGCGGGAGGGGTCCGGAGGTAGAAGGATTTGCTCGCTACTTAGTATGTCGACCGAAGGATTTGTTAATTTTAATGTGCTGAATAATGGATACGGACGGGCCGGGGTGAATGGATACTACAGCCATCCGTAGAGACGCGATGAAGAAAGTGAGAGGCTGGTGGACAACACTCGAGCGAAATATATAGACATAAGAGAGAGGCAACCAGAGACAGACAGAGAGCAAAAGCGAGAGGCAAGAAAAAGGGAGAGAACTTGCACAAGGGAACACCCGAGCACAGCTCCCGGTGGTGCGTAACGCGTCGCTCTCTGTGCACGATGCAGGCGCCCGTGGATGTACACCCCCCCCCCGTGGCAGACGCTTTCTGAGGTTCTCCGCATTCCGTTGGTCCCGTCTGGTGTATCGTTGATTTGCCCACTGTTATAACTACCCTCGGTCGTTTGGAGTGCGCCCCCGTAACGCCATTGCCGGCCCCAAAAACGGAATATATGCTTCGTCGGTGCTACGATCATGGACACAACGTGCTCGGGTAAAACCCATAACGTGCTCAAGGGAGTACTCGAAAAAGTGTCCGTTGGGCCTAAAGAGGATTTGCGGCCATTGCCATTCACACAGCGGCCGCTGCATTCGTAATTGTTACACACGGCCCCCGCGAAAACTTGTAGTCACATATTTAAGCCACAAGGCCCATCGTACTGGCCACACAAGGCAATTCGTGTTGAATTTTCCTATAAAAAATACACATACGATCACAGAAAGATTAACCGTTCGAGATAACACCACAGCACTCGAAGGGAATGCGTTGAGGTCGTTGAACTACTGTAGTGGGCGACAAACCGGCTGGACACCAGGCTCCAATTCTTGAGTCTCATTAAAAGACCATACACGTTTGGATGAATACTCACCTTTTTCGCATGTCCCGGCCCGACGGCAGCAGCCAGACAAGAAGAAGATGCCCCCGTTGTCGCAGCACCCGCTTCCGCTGACTTGCCGCCCTCACCGGTAGTTGCACCCGCGTCACCAGCAGAAGCAGCGGCGGCGGCGGCGGCCGCTGCCGCCGCCATTTCTTGTTTCTTGTGCTTGACTAGGGTGGACAGCGCCTCCAGTGTGAGCATGCGCATCTTGTCCATTGTGCCCTGTTGCCACCAACCGGTCACGATGCCTGGGCGGTCCTGCAATAGTACGGGGGCGACGGGGAATGTGAACAATGCGGGAGGGGGGGGCACAAGGGTGGTCGTAAGTGTCTTTGTTCCCGTGAGATTGGAGTAAGACGTACGTTTTCTTCATCGCGATACCTGGGCCAGCAAGATCCGGGGGGCCAAGACGCGACGGAGGGCGGAGACATTGCCACCGCCCTGTAACGTCTCTGTATCGGCTAAAGGAAAAAATAGCGGCAGGGGAGCAATCCATATATGGCTATCTTGGGGCGATACTTTCGGGATGATCACCGTTAAATCCCCTGCACGCATGTACAAGCCCTCAGTATATCGCCAAGAACTTAGACGAGGAGAGTGTCGATCAGAGGCTCACTCGATATAATCAAATAATGTAGCACGCAATCGCCTTTCATGTGGTGAGCTTCTCCACAAACGCCAACCTGACCCTTGAAAGCCCAACGCCAACTTTCCTGCACATATATTTCGCCCGCACCAGTCTCCCAGAAGCACAAGAACAACATTCGTCATCAGTCAAGTTCTTCCCCATCTACTTCGCGCCATACAACATCGAAACGTATAACAAATCTATCACGCTCACCATGCGAGGTGCCTTCAGAGCGAGCTCCTGCACCTCTCGAATCGGGGACTCCCCCACCACGTGCCGGTTCCTCGCGGACAGGACGTTGCCGTTCAGGAGAAGCTGCCGCGTCGAAATCATCGCGCCAAGCACGCACCGATCACGTTCATTCCCGATTCACACACAAAATCAAGAGAGCGGAGGGCGGGACGCCTCGTCAGAGGCTTGCGGGCTGTTTTTTGTTCTTAGTTTTTGTCGCATGTACTTTCCCACCTCTGCTGTAGGACTGCGGCTGATACGCCAAACACACGCAACACACCGAAAGGTATGTAGAGGCTGGCCCCGGAGAAAATCGGAGGAACTCACGCACGCACTTTCCTAACGCTGTTCGGCTCTGGTGCACCTGGCTTGCGGCAGAGTACATGGGAGGAACACACACGAACTTTCCCGCCTCCCATTCGGCTCTGCTGCATCTAAGCGAAGAGTTCCATGCCGACGGCTACACGGCCGCAAGCAAGAAAATCATCGTGGGAGATCGATCGCTGCCATCGGCAAACCAAAAAAGGGAGAGGGCGGGAAAACCTGTCTTTGAAACGGATTGATTGCCTCGTGTTCTCCGTAACGATACATAGACACGCCAATCGATCTGCAATCGCAACCAAGCACGTCAGGCTGCCCATTATACTTGATGCCAGCTTCCGATGGCTACTCGATAGCCCACGACGTGCCGTTGATGTGCGATGGGGGGGAGGTGTACTCATAGTCGTGCATGCCGTAGTCGTTAGACCATTGACCTCGCATCCCTACAAAGCCGGGACGAAGCACGCCAGGTTCTCACCGGACCAGGCTCCCACATCACNTGCCTCGAGGGTGCTTAACCATTTTAACACAACGTGGTGCGATCATCCCCCTTGCGCGGAGTGAGGGTTCTCCACCCCGCACAACATGATCTACTCGACCACCAGTATGGTTACCGCCAAAAAAAAAACAGACGTAAAAAAAAAGACGGTATCCTGGTTGCCGAGCTCACGACGTGAGTTGGCTTGTTGTACAACGTGGTTGCCAAGCGACGAAAACCCAATCCCGATGGCAAACACCGAGGGGTGGGGATGTCCCATGGGGGAAGAAAAAAGTCGGCAACTTTTTGCTGGTAACACCGAAACAACAACAACAACAACAACAACAACAACAACAACAACAACAACAACAACAACAACAACAACAACAACAACAACAACAACAACAACAACAACAACAACAACAACAACAACAACAACAACAACAACAACAAGCCTCCCCGCTCACGCTCGGCCATCACCCACCTGACTCGCGAACCGGCCCTTGGGCCTCGACGCAAGGCCGACCTCCGGCACAATACCCCCCACGGATAACCGCTGTGACGTCAACGTCAGCCCGGTATTTTTTTGTCTCCCACTTCCACCGCCGGCGACGGCCCCGTCCTCCTCCTCTTCCATTTCCGCCTCTGCTACCTGGTCACCCTCGTTGTCGGCGGTGGCGGTGGTAGCGCTGTCGCCGCTCGGTCCGGTTTTTGATTTTTTGGAGGCGTGTTCGGTGGCGGCGGGGCCCGTGTTGGCGGCATCCCCGAATGGTGGGTCTGTCTCCGTCTCTTCGTCGTCAACGCTGCTCTTCTCGGCGTTGTTGTTGTTCTTGGCATCTTCTGCGGCGGCGCTACCGGCCTTGCTGCTACTGCTGCTGCTGCTGTTGCTGCGCCCTTCGCTCCCCTTTTTCGGTGCTGAGCTTGCTGCCGCTGCCGCCGGTGCGGTCACCGATGCACCTCTCCCTCCTTCTCGTACTGCCGCTCCCGCTGACCCCGTTGCTGCCGCTGCTTTAGCTGACACCGTTGCTGCTGATGCTTTGGCTGACCCCGTTGCTGCTGCTGCTTTAGCTGACACCGTTGCTGCTGATGCTTTGGCTGACCCCGTTGCTGCTGCTGCTTTAGCTGACACCGTTGCTGCTGATGCTTTGGCTGACCCCGTTGCTGCTGCTGCTTTAGCTGACACCGTTGCTGCTGATGCTTTGGCTGACCCCGTTGCTGCTGATGCTTTAGCTGCCGCCGTTGGTGCTGTTTTAGCTGCCGGCGATGCCGTCGCCACAACCGGCGCGAAAACTTTCGGCGGACTCGACTTCTTGACACCAGCTTGCTCCAAGGCGGCCGCCCATACCCTGAGCTGGGCAGGGAACAGCCTGAACTCCAAAATCTGCTCGAATCTGACGCCGGAAAAAAAAAAGAGACTCATAACGGCATCATTGTTTGTGGCTTGGTACATTATACCGGTAGGTGGTGGTCAACCGATAGTTACCGCTCGCCAACTTGACTGCCAACCAGCCAAACAAAGTTTGCCGATCAATAAACGTATTGCGGCGCTGGACCCGATATAGTGCCGGTTGAATACTACCGGTGCCCGGTATACTGCTTGTCAAACATCTGGACAAAAGTGCCCACTCCTATACTAGAACCTAGATATCCCTGCTCTGGGTAGTGCCGGTGTCCAGTATATTGCCGAGCAAAAACCTCTGCGCGCAAAACAAAACCATCTCGAGCCCTCAGCTGCTGTCCCGGTTTCGTCACTCGCTGCAACCTAGATCCCCGTTTACGCAAGCCTCGTGCCTCAAACCTACGCTCACGTCCTCCACGCGTATTATGCGGCGGCGTATGACTCTCTCTCTGTGACATACCTGTCCGACGGGTGGTCCTCCGGACGGTACCCGAACCTCACCCAGCGGCTCCTCCAAGGGCCGTTGCAGTAGTAGTACGCCACGGCGGGGACAAGGTCGCGAATCGGCCACCTGTGTCAAGGCAGACAAGAGATACCCCGGAAAGAACAAAAAAATCACCCCGTAGAAAACAAGAGTCAGCACAGCAGCAGCGTCAGTAGTGAGGGCTTGTGTATTGGCCACGTCATCAAACAAGGGAGAAGAGAGAATAGCAAGAAGAAAAAAAAACACAAAGGAGAAGGGTCCAGCACAGCAGCAAATAGTAGGGTCGCAGAGCGGGGATGAGGACTCGCGCATTGGCCACCCGTGTCAAAAGTACGTATAATTTACAAGGGAAGACGGAGAGATTAGGAACGTGTGTTTCGAGTAAATTCAACCGTGTTTTCAATTTTATTGGGCCTTGCTTATCCACCGAAATACATCCTGACGCAATGCCTCACGTGGGCTGGTCTTTCATGCTTTCCTCGAGCTCCCTCATGAAGTACATAGGCTGTTTCTCGAAGAGCTCCACGATCTTCTGCACGAGCAACAGCCGCTGCTCTTGCACCTGCGGATACACGTAGTAGAGAAAACTACGGTTTCTAGTGGAGGTGGTGGGTGGTCCGCAGCCAACTTCGAGAAACAAACGGGCATGGTTTCCTGCACGAGCAAGATTTGCTGACGGCGGCCCGTTATTCCCGGACGGTTCTTTCTCTTCTCCGCACCCGCTACACAACGGTATCAACACATGCCAGGCACACGGCAGTGAGCAACAATCACACGAGGGTGTCTACTGCACCTCATTGTGTCCGGATATCCCCTTGCGGTACCGGGAGGGACGGTTCTTTCTTCCCCGCTGTCGCCCACTCCCCCACTTCTTGTCTAGCTCGACCCTCAAGTGCTCCACCTCTAATACGTCAACGAAAACGGCACCCGGGGGAGGGGGGATTCATTCAACATATGGCGGTTGTGCGGGAGGTCGTTGTGTCCTATTTATCTCCCAGACAAGCCGCGACAACAGAATGCGTACCTTTAGACGCACCTACACCGGAGAACTTAGCAAGTCGTTGCTAGAAGACACAACGGTGTCCAGCGCAAAAATAGCAACATCGACGACAGCGACAAAGACACCAACATTAGCCCCTCCGTCACAAGCACGACAACCAGCGCAAGTGCATGAAAGCATGCATCGTGCGTACACATGTGTGCATGCCTTTGGCGTCTCTGATGAGTATGGCGCCGCTCTTAGTGACGTGCTTCACGGCCTCCCCGAAGCGGTGGTACACCAACAAGTTTCCCCTCTGCAGCTTGACCGTGTCGTGATGCTTCCTCTCGCGACGAAGAATCTGATCGAAATAAACCGAGGGCGAACCCGAAGTGTTTAATCAGCGCTTTACTTGCTGCCGATGGCGTTGTGTAGACTATTTCATACGAAGTAGTTACTAGTGCTGTAACATTCAACGCCTTCGATTGCTGCTCTAATTAGGTACTTTCCCTATTCGACTCCGGCCCATTTTCTGCTATGATGTATGTATCAACAGAGGTGCGTGGTTGGGATCGGGGTTTGTAGACACCACCGAGCCGGGTAGAACATCGGCCAGCGTGTCGGCCTCAGAGGGTGCATAACATGATACCTTGGTCTACACCTCCAGCCAAAAGCGGTCACTATGACACTCACACTCTTGTGGCCCCTGCAAAAAAAACAGTCTTTACCGAACATCCATCTCCAAATACACATTTCTATTTCTACAGGAGAGGGCGACGTGAGCTCCTCAGAAGTTTATTACTACTAGCACTACAGGAGTGCTGGTCCGCTATTTAAGAAACTTCGATTCGGCTGGAGGCTCAGTTTCATATGTCGTCGCCATGTTCCGGCATAGACTGTGGACACCATCCAGTTCTTACAAAAGGATCCACCACTGACCTAGGAATTCATAACCTGTGCAATATTTCGAATGTACCAAAGATGTCGTCTCTCGACAGCGTCCCGGTGCTACCTTGAAAATGTGTGACATAGAGACAAATACCCCCCCCCCAACTAAGAATCCCCTTCCCCCCAAACTTCATGAACTTGTGGGATAGTCGATGGTCCAGCTGATGGTACTGCTGCACAATTGGGTGTGGAGTAACGAGTATACGCCAAGTAGATGGAGGGAAGGAGTGGTTGTGAACCTGTGCAAGAAAGGAGACAAGACTGACCCAGGAAACTAC